GAAGGAAGGAAGGAAGGAAGGAAGGAAGGAAGGAAGGAAGGAAGGAAGGAAGGAAAGAAGGATAAAATAGCTAGAAAGATAAATGACTTACCTACAGTCACATAGCTTATTACTGATAGCACGAGAGCGCAGAATCAGGTCTTAATAATGATATCTTTACATTTTTTTTAAAAACGAGTTATGATTACCAAGTTCTACAAGTATAATTGTTAGCAAGCCTTCTAAGCATCTAATACGACTGAACATAGGCTGTCACACAGAAATTGTCCTAAATCAAATGCTGCAATATGAGAGAAGTATACCAAATTCTACTACGTCTGTATTGGGGAGATGAGGGGCACAGACTATTTTAGGATCCAATCCATGTTAAAACAAGGCACTTTTTAATAGAGATCGACAATATTAATTATATTTCTTTTCTCCATTCACCTATAGACATTGATGTTACAAAAATAATCTACTGGATTTATCTTTTCGATGTGTCAACTGAAATGTCTTTTCTAGCCCCATTTCTTTTCAACATACTTTTTTTCCTCTTTGAAAATAATACTGGATATTCATATGTTCATGTCATATTTATAAATTTTAAATTTTGAAAATAAATTGACTACTCATTAACAGAACACACATTACTACTTATTGGCCAGCTAAAAGGTTAAATACATGTTCTATTAAGAGATAAAGAGCAAAGACCAAAATAATTCCAAAATTTCAGCAAAAAGGAAAACAAGTGATTATACTTATGAAAGTTTTTGGACATAGAACCCAGAGCTGGTAATAACTCAAGCTGGGGTGCTCTGGGCTCCAGGTCCTAAGTCAGTAGATGAAAACAAATGCTTTCCACGAGTATATTTGTATCTGATAGATTGTACAAGTCACAACAAAATTGAATGATTTCATGGGGCAACACCATCAATTAAGAGAGGGAGCCTTATTTAGCAAAACTGCTCTGAGGACAGAAACATACCTCAAACTGCAATGTGTTAGTTTGCTAACTGATCTTTCTGTTGGAGATAACTGCTAAAATTCCTTCTTTAAAGTACATGAACTTTTGTTTGATATCACCTACTGTGCATATCTTTCTTTACTACCATCAGAGTCTGTAGTCTTCTATTCCTTCACTGATGCAGAGAAGTATTTCCACAGCATCTATACAGCAAAGCTTTTGTTCCCCTCTAGCATCAGAACTGGCACACTAATTGCTCCCCTCCAATTAATGCTAATATTTGCTGTTATACACAAGAGTTACAGTTTAAAATAAGAGCCCACACTCTGAAAGAAATTTTAGGTATTCAAGGTCATTTACACAGTCTAATTTAGAATCAGTTCCTCATCTAGAATATGAAAGAAATTTGTTCATAAACCACAGCATCTTATTGTATTAAATATTATTTTAGATATGAATTTTTAAGCTAGGTCAAATTGTAATATTATGCTGTATAAAAATTGGCCATTTATGTACCAATTCATTCATTTTCCATACAATTTCAGTGGAAAAATTCCCATGTATACTTAAAGTTGAAGATAATTCATTTAGGTCCCCATTGTACATTAAGCAAGCCAACAATTTTTAACTATGTCACAGGTTTAAAATATCTGTCAATTCCTGTTACAGAGCTATAACATGAAATCAATATGGTCAATAGTTACATAAAATGCCAATAGAAGAAATTATTTAAAACAAAAGCAAGAGGCTTTTTAATGCATTAAGATGTATTACTCACCAGAAACAAAGTTCGGAAGTTGCTGAGATCACCAAAAAACTCTTCTATGCTCACTGTCTTAGAGTCGAAAATAAAGTATTCTCCAAGACTCTCATAGAGCTTTACCATATTGTTGTGCATGGTGAGCAGTTTTTCATACTGGTCTCTGGCAGTCTTTGTAAAGCTGTAGCTTTCTGTTAAGGAACATGAACCAATAGTACTTCAAAGGCAATCACTAGATGTTAAGGTTGAATTATATCACCATTTCTGTAAATACTTACATGTCACTTTGCTAGGGTTGCCATGACAAAATGCAACTGATTGGGAAGTAAACTACAGAAATTTATTTTCTCACAATTCTGGAGACTAGAAATCCAATATCAAGGTGTTGGCAAGTTTGGTTTCTTCTGTGGCCTCTCCCCTTATCTTGTTGTAGATGGCTGCCTTCTGTGTCCTCACATGGTGGTCTCTCTGTGTTGTCAGCGTCCTAATCTCCTCTTCTTATGAGGACACTAGTCACATGGGATTAGGGCCCACCCTTAGAACCTCGTTTTAACTTAATTACCTCCTTAAAGGCCCTATCTCCAAATAGTCACATTCTGAGGTTCTAGAGGCTAGGGTTTCAATATGTGAATTTTGCACAGACACAGTTCAGCCCACAACAAATTACTGGAGTCATTATATCATTTAGTGAGTTTTGAAAAACTATAAATTAGGCATAAGAATTTAATGCATAACCCAGAACAGGTCTGCTAGTACAGGTTTGCTAAATGAAAACACATAAGTATAAATATGCCAAAACTGCTTCATATTTTTTTATGAACAAGGTAGGATAGAAACAAACACTAACAAAAAACTTAGAAAAAAAGTATAAATTCTCTTAATGTACATATTCTACATAGAGAGGTTACAGTAAATTCTATATGTAGATTATGAATAAATAGGGGTGTGTGTGTGTGTGTGTGTGTGTGTGTGTGTGTGTGTCTCCATCCCACATGAAGGGAAGGGAGAGGAAGAGGGAGGAAGGGAGAGGGGAGGGAGAGATTCTGCTATAGTTCTGGAACCTTAATCACCCCAACAGCTTATTCAAACCTAGATTCCTATTTGCTGAGCCTGAGCTCAAGGACCCGAACACTAATTTCTAACAAGTTCCCGGGTGCTGCTGAGGCTGCCAGTCCAAGATTACACTCTGAGTAGTATGCTCTAGAAAAACTAGTTATCCAGATATTAATTACATCGTTGTTTTACAAATAGTATCAAAAAAGTGGTAACAATCACTACCAAAGCATAAAATGAACCAAATATATAAATGTGTCTGACTAAAGGAATCTCATTATATATAAATTTATACTTACAGAAAGAAATTATAATATTTTCTTCCTGATTATAGAAGATATATTTATAGAAAATTATCTCCTTAGGTGACTTAGAAATCTAAAAAACATAAATAAGTGAACTAAAATTTTCAACAACTCAGAAGCAAGTATTGTGAACATTTTGGGGCATTTCCTTCTGGTCTTTCTCCTATGGCTATTAACTTTTTTTAAAAAAATATTTAAATTAGTATCAAGTACACAGTACATTGGTTAGGCATCTATATAGTTCATAAAACAATCCCCCCAATTGCTCCCTCCCTTTTAAATGTTAGATGATAAAAATGCTTCAGAGAAAGGTAAGCAGGCTAACCATGAAGAATATAGGGAACTAAATCCACCTTCTAAAATTAGAATTAAATTTATTAAAAATCAATAATGATCACATAAGTAAAATATCTTTAAATAGAAAGGTAATAAACTTGGAATTGTAAAAGAATAATAGCACAGTTTGTGGCATGCTATTTTAAGATCCACCACAGTGTATTAATATTATGTGATAGTATTATTTTATCAGATACTGATAATTGTGTCTTGAAATACTTGATTCCATAACACTTTCTGAATTCTTCAGTGTGTTTTATTATAACCTGGGGCCAAATTTATTTTCCATGGGAACATAGCTCTACCTATACAATGGAAGTCAATGGGGAAATCAGACCATTTCTGGAAAATTACTTTGCAGCTGATACTTATGGAATACATCATGATTTTAAAAGTGAGATACCCCCCTCTACATATTTTCTTTCTTATGCTACTTAAGTATTGGCATCCGCATTAGCAATCCAACAACCTCTTCCCTGCTAATAAGTAACATTATACCTTTCAACCCTCAAGTTCATTTTGATGTCAACATAACTGAAAGAATTAATGCATTTCTAACTCTTCTTTTACCAATGAAAATTATATGTAATACTACGTACATATTTTGATTTCACTTCTAAGAATATCCCCATTTTTTTTTTTTTTTTTTTTACTTTTTAAAATGTGTTAAACGTCCTATTTAAGAGTTATGGAAATAAGACAACACCCTTCATTTCTTAGCATGGAATGAAAGTGAGATTTTCGCTTTCTAGTCTCTCTTCCCTAAATAAAGAAAACTCATGCCAGAGACTTGCTAGGCAGAAACACTTTGCAAAGGTCACTTACTTGTACTCTATTTGCAATGCAAATTAATAAACTGTATATTTCAGAAGCCTCAACATCTGTACAGCACAGAGAAAAAGCCAAAGATAAAAAAGGCGAAAAACTGTTTCCTATTTATCATGACACAATTTTTCACCAGCTAAAATATGCCCATGTAGTGATACACAATTTCACAAATTTGTTTTCCTAGAACAAAAACTGATTTCAGAAATTCTGTGTGTGTACCAAAGTGAGACAATTTGAAAAATTCTGGGAACAGTTTATCTTAGAAATAATAAATGGACAGCAACCCAATTTCCAAGTTCTTCACTTATCTTCACAGTGATTACTTTGTAAAAGAAACAGCATGAGTCAGCACTGAATCTTTCACAGTTGCAACCATGTTACCTAATCCTGCCTGGTACTGCAGGTAAAAAAGAACTAGACACTATCATTCCTTTTTCATCACTTGATTTCAGTTAGAAATTTTTATTTAATTTTTTTGAACAGCCACTAAATACGATATACTGTTTAGTACTATGTTAATAAGCACTGTGATGGATACAATAACATTAAAGCCTAATACAGACCTTGAAGAAGTTTATAATCTAATATTACAAATAATTCTACCATTATCAATTTGCATTTGTATAAGACTTTACCATTTTCGATATATTTTTCCTCCCATTATGCCACGTATTCTTCATAACAACCTTACCAAAGAGGCAGAGAAATACCACTATTCAGATTTTAGGGTTGTGGAAACTAGAAAAAGGCACTCATCTATCTTGGGTTAGAATGTAATGAAGTGTTGCAGAATATGCCACTCCAAAATATGCTTCTATGGCACAGGTTATTCTGAGCCGATTGAGAAACAGCAGAGATAGGAAAATTTCTGAGAATACTAAAAGTTACCCTTTTGAAAGGAATATTTACATTTATAAAGGAAATCTCCATTTGTGAGGGTGTCTCCCTCTCCTTACCAGGAAGAGAAGGATGAATCAATGATGAAATTGCAGATTTAAATCTGTACAACAAACCTTACACTTTTTTTTTTTTAATGGTGCTTTTCCTGGTAACTCCCCTCCCCCAATAACTGGTGTCTTCACACCTTTATTTTATCTTTAGCTGGAGATGGTATTTAAATTGGTGATTTAGGCTACCTCAGGGAATTAACTCACTTTTACCAGGGTATCTCCAAAGTATACATGAGGTGGGCATATTAATAAACTTCTGCTTAGTTTTTTCTTGTTAATATTTTATTATGGGGAAAAAGAAATAAATGATATCTAAATTAGAAAGAAGTAAAACTGTCACTATTTTTGGATGCCATGATTTTATATATAGAAAACCCTAAAGATTCTGCTAAAAACAGTTAGAAATAACAAATTCAGTAAAGTTTCAGGGTACAAATTCAATATACAGAAATCTGTTGCATATTTATACACCGACAACAAACTATTAGAAATTCAGAAAACAATTTCATTTATGATTGTGTCAAAAAGCATATAATAACTAGAAATGTATTTTAAAAAATAAGTGAAAGACCTGCATACTGAAAACTATAAGACATTGATGAAAGAAACTGAAGACACAAAAAGGTGGATATTCCATGCTCGTGGATGAGAAGAATTAATTTTGTAAAAATGCTTACATTACCCAAAGCAGTGTACACATTCAATTCAATCCCTACCAAAATTCCAATGGCACTTTTCAGATAAATAGAAGAAACAATCCTAAAATTTATATGGAACCAAGAAAGATCCCAAATAACCAAAGCAATCTTGAGAAAGAAAAAAAAAAATGATGGAGGCATAATGTTCCCTGATTTCAATTATTTTTACAAAGCTATAGTAATCAAAACAGTGTGATACTGGCATAAAAACAGGCACATAGATCAATGGAACAGAATAGAGAGTTCAGAAATAAACCCACGCCTGTATGGTTAATTAATTTATGACAATGAGGCAAGAACATACATGGAATAAGGAAAGTCTCTTCAATAAATGGTATTGGGAAAACTGCACAAGAATGAAACTGGACCACTGTCTTATACCATACAAAAAAAATAATTAAAAACGGATTAATGAACATAATAATTTGTATGGGTCCAGAATGAGTATCCACATCAAATTATTTAAAGCTAAAAACAATTAAAGTCCAACAAACTGAAGAAGAGTTATGTATGATTGTTTGTTTGTTTTTACCTCCTTCTTACCTATCTAAAGGAATTCAGATAAAAAACATGTTTCAGGAAGGTAGGCTTAGCCTATTCACCTTAGCATATGTGAATTGAGTGCAGCAAACAGGGAAGATCCATGCAAGAATATGTTTGTTAGATGTGCCCTGTTGTTTCTGGGTGGCCCAGCAAGAATTTACCACATATTTGCTCATTCTCATCTACTTGTGAATTACCTCTTTTCCCTTTGAAGTCCCAGAGCCCTACCTACCACTCTTTACTCAAGAATGGCATATAAGCCTCAAGTACCCAATTGGGCCCAATCATCAGGGCAAAAAGCAAAGAAGTAGAACTGGATAGCAGAGAAACAACAGTTGATTTTTACCGTCGGCAGGTGCAAAACAGAGGCTGAACCACAGTCTCCAACCCACAACCCAGAGGTCACCTCCCCGCATACCCTACGAGACTGATTACCGCGGAGCCCCAGGGGAATCTGAGCAAACACTGCT